GAAAAGAGCACAATCAAGCGCAGTTCACACAAACTACCGTTCAATGGCCACTCGATCGCGCTTCCAATCCTCGCAGTAAGTCAGCGGTCAACGTTCTGCGCACGCGTCCTTAAAAAAAGTCCCCAGCCAATCAGCGGTTTTTGAGACCTGTCTAATTGACCGCAGTCACGACAAGCTACATGTATCTGCTGACCAGTATCATGTGACTATATCGCGGGCTCAGGTTTAGAGCTTATCGAGGTTGTGTGTTTTTTAAAGTTGACCACTGACCAGTTACTGGTTTACTGATTGGATCGTGGGCTCAAGTCATGTTATTTCTCTGTGGGGCAAGGAAGGAGTACTTGCAAAGGCAAAATTGTGGTGCAAATTAACCCCTGGCACGTTCTTGACTTTTCTTCTGACATATTCTTTGTACAATCGTCTCGTGGAAAGTCCCTGATATATTGCATACATAATTTCTACAATCTTGTTTAGGCTTGTTGGGTATAGTTTGTTAAAGTTTAACTGGAAAAAATAGCAAAACCACACGCTGAACAATTACATGCTCACAATCAATCATTTTTTGAGTTTCTGGTCCAAGAAAAAATAGTTCTCTTTTTCTTTTATCATCAGTTATTGCAATCAGAAGCTCTACTTTTAGGCTTGGCTAAATCTATATATTATCATATATTTAGGTGAAAACTATTGTATTGTGGCAAATGTATCGAGATTTGAAAAAAAATCTTACGACTTTGATTGTGAGGAAACCGTTATAAGTACAAATCATCCCCATAGGTACAGATTTAACTATGGAGTGGCTTTGAAAGTAACATTATTTCCTCTGGGGGTCCTGGGAGCATCCCCAATGAAATTTTGAAAATCCAGACAAGCTCACACAGGATTACTATGCACTCTGGAGGTCAGGCTTAGAGACAAAATTTCATGTCAGTTTTAGACACTTTGCGTGGCACATGTCCAATACAAAGACATGGAGGGAACGTTGCTCACCTACAGCTTGTATGACAATAAAAGCAGTAGTTTAATCTGTATTTTTTTTATTACATTTAGATCCAGTGGCACGTAGACTTTTTGGACGGCCTTTTCCTGCATTTTCAAGCCCCCAAATAGTAGCTTCTGTTTAGCTGAAACAAATGATTTGGAAACAAAATAAGATGCAATTGTTTGACATTGTGATGTATTGTGTTGCAAAAAAAACCCACGAAAAACAAAAAAACAAAAAGAGAAAAACTACAACAAAATTATATTGTGAGTTTTCTTTTGTTGAACATCACATCAATTAGCATTTGTTGTTTAATAGGGGTAGAGCTGTCTTGTACTGAATATGTAATTAATAAAAATTATAGTTATTGTGTTTGTTTTCATTAATTATAATTTAATTAATATGAACTTGCCAGAAAAAAGAACTTTGCCATTAAAAATTATTTCCGCAACACATATATACTGTTTTTCTGTAGCTATCCATTGTCCAATGAACCCCTACAGCGATGTCGTGTTATTTCTTTTTCTACTGTTGTGTATCATTGTTACCAGCACAGTTAAATTTTGACAAATGTGTTTTCTTGCAGACATATCAGCTGGGGAGGAGAGTTCAAATAGTCATTCAAAGAGAGAGTCGCAATGTTCAAGTGATCATCCAGATGCTAAACAAACCAGGCTTGCAGGTATTGTTGTTAGTGACAATTCTAGTTGTATGGCATGCGGAAGCCCACTGTCATGCTGTGATGCTGTTCTTCGTGAAGGAATGTAAGGTTACTCCAAACCTTTGTGGGGCTTCACATACTTATGCCAATTTTTTTTTTTTTTTTTTCAACCAAATTAAAGTTCATTATTTGAGGTAACATTTTCCAAAAACTTGAAAATAAAATTGGAAAAAAGAAATTTTTTAATAAAAGTTATAAACCGTCAAGGTGTCATAATCCCCAAAAGGTATAGACTCCTCAGTGACCTTTTAGTGGGCATTAATAAGTAAGATATTGAAGCTCTTCAGTTTTGGTAGTGTTCAGGAGATGGTACATAAAAATTTAATATGATATTTCATGGTGGTGCAAAACAGTATTTTACGAATGAGCCCAAAGTGTGAGTAAAATATTGTTTTTAACGGGTGAAATTAAAATTCATATCTTCAAGACACCATGTGTCATCTCTGGAACATTTCCTTGTTTCCCTAATGGGACTGTAGTTGTGAGGTACAGTAAACAACGTTCGGTAGCACTCGATTTCAGTGGTAATATGCTGTGTTAAGAGCGATGTTTTAAGCGCACTTCTTGTCGGAGAACGGTGAAAAAGCTGTTGCTTCTTGTGGCAAGGAACGAAACTTGATCGCATGACTGAATCAGGCAAATGTGATATCTGATATCCTGATTCATGCTCAGCCCTTCCCCTATTCAGTGTGCGAGACCTTCATTTCTTGCCTCTTTAACAAGCTCAGCCGGCAAGAAAAACATTACTCAGGTCGCGGATGATGTTTCATATAAATTTTACGACTGGTGTATTTTCCTGTTAAACGCCCGTGTCTATAAAGTTTAAAAAAAAAATCCAAATTACAGTCTCAAATAACGATTTCACACCCAAAAAAGAATCATAACAGGTCTCAGTGAGTTCAAAAAAATTGAGAATTAATAAAAAATTGATATCGTAGAGAGAGGCATTGTTAAGTGAAACATGTGCTCAGCAGTTCAAAGGGAAAACAAAAATTGAGAGTGGTGACAATCAGCTTGTAAAACCAATGATCCTCAAAGCTTTGTGTATTTTTCTGTTCCCAATGTTAAGATTGATATTTCTGGCCAGTTGGTTTAAACGAAGTTTAACTTGCTCTTACAGGCACTGCTATATCATCACACTGTAGTAAAATGGAAGTGTGGAAAACTGCAAAATCCTTATATAAAATCGTGTATCACAGACGAGGGTTTTATGTATTTGTAGCACTTAGAGAATCAGAGTTTCTTTGGACATCCTGTATTATCCCCACAGTTTCAACTGGTGTAAAAAATGTAGTACTGTATTCGTAAAGTTTTTTGTTAGATCTCAAGAGCAAGATTGTTGTTGTAAATGACAGTTATTTCTTTATGGGCACCAATTATTTAATGGATGCACTTCCATGATTATTATTAGCCCTTGGTGATCGGGTGTTAAGTTTTTAAGTGGTCAATTTGACCAAGTTTTCTTCACATGTCTGTAGACACAGTAACAGGCGAAGACAGTTCACAGGGTGACCATCCAGATGTTGAACGAAGCGGGATTGCAGGGACTATTTTAGGGACAATATTTCTGGATTGAGCATGTTAACTGTGAAGCATGCTGGGACTTTGTCACAGGTTCAGTAAAATGCTGTGTTGTTTTTGGTCAAGAAAGTTAATTACGGTGTTCTGATTAAAAAACTTACTTGATGGCCAGCTACCTCAAACATATCAAATACAACTCATAAAGATCTGAGCTGTCTGTGGTTATAGCTGTTTGTTGATTGTGAACGTGCAAAAAAAAAATACCTTTTTTTATCCACAGTGCAAAACAACTTGAATTAGGTAATAAAACAGATGATATAAAAATGAAAACGTGAGGTGAAACTCTAGAGTCAGTGTAGCCTTCTACACAGATGTTTGTCTCGTCACGTATTGCTCTCCATTAGAGGAAAGGTTGTGTGACAAGCCCAAAGAGGGTCTGGTCGCCGAGGCTAGAGTCCGTGTGATGTCAGTATTTTTTTGGTGTTAAGTTTTTATTATTCAACACAACATTACATTCTGTGATGTCAGTATTTTCGTTGATGTGGTGATACACGAGATGAATGAACTACCTGAACTTCTAAATCCCTTTAATTGCAAGTCCATTAATTGTTTCTATTTTGCAAAATGTCCCCCTTTGACTTTAAGGAATGCCAAAGACAGCTACATGTTATTAGATTTATAATTGTACAAGTGAGGTTAAAATCATCACATGGGACTCGAACTCGGCCGTTCGTTAGATTGACAAGATCTTCACATAGTCATCATGGGTGAAA